TTCTGATGGTGGATTTTTGCAGTCTTGTCGATTCCACCCCCTCCACATCTCTTGTCCCTGTTCTCTTCACTTATTCCACAACCGCTGCAGATCAGACCCTCCTCCCCTCTCTCCTAGACTTGTGGTAGCTTCCTGATTGGTCTCCCTGTTTCCCCAATCAAATCTATCCTTCACATAGGTGCCAAAGTGATATCCATACCATGAACGTTCAAATATGTCACTTCCCCATCCAAGAGGCATCAGTGGCTCCACATCGTCGCTAGAATAGAGTAAAAAAATCTTCTGTTTAGCATTTAGAACGTTTAAGATTCTGACTCCAGCTTTTCTTTCCAAGCTGCTGACCCATCACTTTCCTCATGCGTTCTTTACTTCAGGCAGACCTGTTTTCTTGCTGTTCCTAATGTCCAGGATTTTGTACAGGTTGTGCCCCAAGCCTAGAATGATCTCAAATCCTGTATTTACTTAATCTGCAAAGAAGTATTCCCTTTCACCACTTCCTAGGATAATGTAAACTCCTTTAGGGCAGGAATTGTCTCACTTTTGTATTTCTATCCTCTCTACCTGGCGCAAAATAAATGCTTAACAAATACTTGTTAATTGGGTGTTTAATTTGTATCTTCCCCAGAAGTTCTACAGATTTGCTGTTGTTGGTTAGTCGTTGTGTGTCTGACCCTCATGACCCCATTTGGAGTTTTCTTGGCAAAAATACTGGAGTGGTTTATCATTTCCTTCTCCAGCTCATTTTACAGATGAGGAAACTGAGGCAAACAGGGTTGAGTGACTTGCCCAGAGTCACACAGTTAGTTAAGTGTCTGAGGTCAGATTTGAACTCAGGTCTTCCTGACTTCAGATCCAGCCCTCTCTCCATTGTACTACCTAGCTGCCCCATTCTACAAATAGTAGGTGCTTAAAGCATGTATGAGGTTGAATAGGAGATCCCTGTCATGGTCATTTTTCTGCCTCCTTTCCCTTTCTGCTGTAAAGAAAACTTGTAACCAAGTAGCATCAGACATATACTCCCTAGTGAAGTGTGTCCATGTTTGACCCATTCTGATTTAGGAGGTGGTTCAATGTGCACATTTTGTAAATGGCACCATGACTTGATAGAAGATTTACATTCATCCCATTTCTCCTCGACCCATACTCAGTGGCTATGGAACTGGTTATCATCTTCTCTGTGAAAATCCTTCATATATAATTAAAAACCTCAATAATATGGACTTCTTAAGTTTGGATATTCTACTGATTTGGGAGGGGGATGCCCTAAGCTGAAAATACCTTAGCTGTATTTATTTGTTAAACAGTTCAGTGGCATAAATGAAACTTTGTATAACTTTATACCTGGTCTTGAGAACAGACTTGTGAAGTACTTTAGAAATCACTATTTTATGTGCAGATATTTTAATTGCCAGGTAAGCAAAAGCAGCCAGTTCTGGGGCTGGTGTTTTGATGAACTAAATACAAATAAATTCATCTGTTTTTTAGAAGGACTTACGTAAGGGAGCACTTAATAGGACTAATTAATAAGGAAACAATAACATAGTATAAGTTATTTTATATACAGGTAGGCCTTCACCAACTCTATGTGTACACACACATACATGCGCGTGCACACATACACACATACACACACACACACACACCACACACACACACACACACACACACACACACCCATCCTTTTTGGACAAACAGTTGCCAGGGGATAACTATCCCAGCCAGATGGCTACAGGAACTCACCTTCCTGTCTCACCTCAATTAATGGTATTTCCCTTTCTCATTCTGGGGCAAAACACCAAGAATCACCAGAATTAACCCTAGAGCTTCCTCTGGGCAATAGATAAATCTCAGTCGAGCTTTTTTAAATACTCAGAGACTCACCTGTATCACCTTTGTGTCTTCTGTCTTTCCCTAGGAATGCCAAGTGAAAAGGGACTGGGGATAACTTTCTCAGAGTTGTTTGTTTAGTGGTTCTCTGTTTCTTATTGTTAACAAATTTGAAAAGCCTTAGAAAACCCCAGGGGGCTTATATGGTTGTTTCAGTTACAGGGGAAAACTATAAGACATTTTTTTAGTTTCTAGGCTTCCCGGAAGAGGAAGGTTAACTTAGGGGAATAGAGGACAGTAAACAGGAAAGTAGGTGAGTCCAGTCACGGTGACCAGCTAAAGGAAAGAAAGATGTCAATCTGGAAGTAATACTAGAGCTAAGAAGCCCAGCCCTCACTCCTAAAGCCACTGTTTCGATCCATTGGAAAGCATCCAGCCCTCGTATCCACTTTGCTGGATCCTCAATGTATCACTTGCAGTGGAGAGAGACTTTTACCTGACATCCCAAGTCAGAATTCTGAATACATTTTCCCCAAGAAATATTATTCACGTGGCACTTAGATTCTATAGTACTGTTAGCACAAGCCTGTGTTTAGCATCATTATTATTGCTAGTACTGCTGTTGTGGATAATGATGATAACTCACATGTTTATATGGAGTTTTATGGTAGCCCAAGTAAACCATAATTATTTGTGGTAGCCCAAGTAGAAGCTAAGAGAGGATAATAAGATTTAGAGTTGGAAGGAACTTTAGAGCTCATCTAATCGAACCTTCTCATTTACAGATGACGAAACTGAGGTTCAGAGAGGTTAGAACTGACTTGGCCAAGGTCATAAGGTTAATTACATTGAAGAATTGGATCTCAAATCTTCTGAACCCAGGTCTAATCATCTTTATAATATTATTTCCCAAATTCTAGAGTACAGATTGGCAGTAATTAATAGCAGGTTTTGTTTTTTTTACTAAATCCACCCTAAAAACATGCCCCTATTTTCCAACCTTTGTTCATTCAACAAGCCTTTATTCATTGTTTTTCTTAAACACCAAATGACTTTCGTCCAACATCTCTTCCTATTGAAATCCAAATGCCCTCTTCCTAGAAGCATGCCTTGGGGACCCCTTTATGAGAAATGACCCTCCCTCTTCTCTCTCATAACACTTTGTTTATATATTCTCATGCAATTTTCCAGTTTTGTTTCGTATGATGGGTTACTTATGAAGTAACATCTCTCCCTCTCTTTCTTCCCTGTTTTCCATATCCATAAACTTTCCAAGTGAACCCATGAGAGACACTGCCCTCAGGATGTAAAGGATAAAGTGGTCCAGGGTAAAAAGATTTTGACATTTTCAGTTCCACGGAAGGATCTGGGAATATCTCACTCATTGTTACATCCCTGTAGCACTTAGCTCCATCACTGGAACATGGGAGCCTCTCAATATTTGTTGAATTTAATTAGGTCTTGTTTTTAACCCTTTATTGTATTTTTTGAGGAGCTGCATGGCATAGGGGATAGAGGGCTGACCTTGGAATCAGAAAGAGCCAATTTCAATTACCGACTACGAACACATCCTGACTATATGACAAGTAGGCAAGTTTCTCAGACTCTCAAGGCTATAGTCAGCTTTCTAAGACTATAAATTGTAGAGCAGTTGCTGATCTACTTCAGTGAAGAGAGTGTCTTCACTGGGAAGATTCCGTATATCAATAAAATCACAAGCTCAGTACGATTATCATCTTTAGCCTGCCTTGCTAGACAAAACTTTAGTATTCATCTGCAATATACTCTCTGCATAAAGAATATAACATAAAAGAAGTCTAACTAGACCTTTTCTTTCCTATCACATATATTGCAGAAAAACATTCTTCTAGAGTAAACCTGAGGCTGGGCTCAAATTTTATTGGTGAGGAAACTGAGGCCCGGATTTAAGTTATTTATTCAAAGTCACATAAATAGTAAGTGGCAAGGGCAGGATTTGAACCCAGGTCCTCTGATTCCAAGTCCATTATTCATTATTTTATTCAGTATAGTTTATAAGTGCTACATAAGTATAATTATTTGAATTTTAATCATCTTGATTTCTATTACCATTAAGTTACTAAGTTGAGGAAGGAAAAAAGTTATGCCAGCTTGCACTTGGCTCTGTCCTGAAACTCTTTAGGATTGAAGAGCAGAGAACAAATTCAAGCCATCAAAACCTTTAAAGAAATTTAAGTTAAGTTTGACAATATTAGAATAGAATGAAAGGATTGTAATTGAAAAATGAAAGCGTCATTTTTAGTTTATTATCTGTGGGGGTCACCTGTTTATAATTGGTTCTGAGAGTATTTTATAGTGGGACTCTTTAAAATGAGAGCTTTGGACAGAAAGAAGTCAGTTCTGAGATTTAAAACCAGAATCAGAGAAGAGATAATACTTTGAGTTATGCCCTCTGACTTTTTTCTTGTTACAGCATCACACACCTTTTTCACCAATTGCGCTCAGACTTGCTAAAAGTTAGCACTTAAAGTCACAAAGGATGGAACACCTTAACTGTTCAGACATTCTATTTCTCTGATTCTTCTGCTAGCTTCTAGTGAGTACGTACTTGTATGATGGAAGCTTCTCTAGAAACTTCTCTCAGATTTTGTAATCTCATTAAAAACTAGCTTCCAAACACTTAGAATCCACATGATCTCGGAAAAAGTCACTTAACCTTTCAGAGCCTATTTCCTCGTCCTATATAGATAGGGATCATACTTTCTGCCCACTGTATGTTCCTTACAGGGTTGTTGTTAAGAAACCAGAAAGTATTATATTAATAAATTAGGGATCTATTATTGCCTCAGTGCAAGGACAGCCTTTAGGAAGTAAGCCTTAGAGAGCTGTCAGCCTCAGAAAAGTTGTTAATTTACCGTGTTCTCACAACTGGTGAGTGGTCTGAGGCAGGGTTTGAACTAAGAACGTCCTAACTCCAAGTCCATCTTCCTATCCACTGTACCACCATGCTGCTTGTCTAAAGTACTGTATAAATGTGAATTATTACTATTGTTTTTAACCAAGACTATAGTTTGACTGGCTTTGAGCTGGTTAAAATACCACACATGTAGAACGGGGGAAACAAGGAACTAATTTCACCTGAAAATGAGGGGGGTTTCATTCTGCTAATCAGTGATTTTTCCCTCCCCAATTAGGTGGAGATCCATTGATTCATCATCAGTTTGCATCACAAAGCTTTGGGGGTCCATGTCTGAATGGATTGCTGTAGCCTCATTTCTCCATTCATCCAGTTCCCTGCATCATAAGACTTTAAGCCAGCACAGGACCTAGAAAAATTACATGTAAGTTTTTTTTTCCAGTTTCTTTTTTGAAAACTAAGTAAAAGATAGCGTAAGAATGCTTCCTTGGCAATGAGGAAAAAAAATAATAAAAGCCCACAAAGCATTTTAACGAATGTATCCTAAGAGCTTTAATTTAAGAGAGAGAGAGAGAAAAAGACTATGTAGTTAATCGATCCTTTAACTCCAATATGATTGGAAATATGGATCACAAAAGGAGAAATCTCTTCTGTTTCTGTGCTTTACATCTCTTTGAAGAGATTGTAGCACTATCTATGGCACAGCAGCCCACATCTCAACCCCACTTCCCACTCCTAGAAGAAAAGATTTAACTCTGGAAACACCTTCAAGATTTGGTTGAAACAGTGACAGTCTGCATGTTTAAGTCCACTCCACAGCTGCTGTAATTTTCCTTCATTACTTTCACATGCAAAACGCCACTTAATTCTATGCTGGCTGCAATAGACTATTCCGTAGGCGTACTCGGTTTTAACCAAGCTCAAGAGAGAAAATCCGGATTTATCCTAAGTAGTTGATGCAGAGGTACTTATTTGCCTTACAAAAGATTTATCATAGGATCGATTCCTCTTTCCTATTGCATTTGAAAAATGATTTTGTTTTATAGAGGTTGGATGTACGTGTAACTTTTCAGGCGCTCATATGTCATGCAAAGCAAGACACACTTGTATTTTTAATTCTAGCAGGAAGGTATAGCTCTTTATGTTTTCTTTGTGCTTTCAATACTCATCTGTTTTAAGGATGAAAATGGTATTGTGTAAGTTTTGGAATTAGACATTTGTTTTTTTGACCAGAGCAAGTAAGAATCCATGCCAGCCTACTGAAAGTACAGAATGAGTCAGTTAAAATGTATTTTAAAAAAACAACAATAATGATCTATGCATATTGTCTTTGTGTCTCTGTACCCACTCACACACCAAAAATTTTCTGGACTTTTTTGTTTGTTTTTGTTTAGGCAGTCGGGGTTAAGTGACTTGTGCAGGGTCATTCAGCTAGTAAGTGTCAAGTGTCTGAGGTCATATTTGAACTCAGGTCCTCCTGACTCCAAGGCTGGAGCTCTATCCACTGCACCATCTAACTGCCCCTAGACTTCTTTACAAGATGTAATAGTGGATGTTAAAGCCACTTGGCTTTATCATACTTCTCTGCTACAGGTAGGAGACAGATGCCACCTCTGTTTCAAAGTTTTGGTCAGATACCAAAATGTATTAAGTACTTGACTCTTTGCTAGAAGACAGACGATGACCTCCTGTCTTTAGTTCACTGAATTAAGTTGGGTATAAATGTAGTAAGACAGAATGGCATGAGAAAAAGAGAGGATTCAAGTCTGACCTTCACCTTATACTGGCTGTGTCACTGTGGACAAGTCGCTTAACTTCTCTAAGACTATTAAGTTGGAAAAAAAAAAAGACTATTAAGTAGCAGAGAAGGTACTAACTGACCTGCATTGGTGGATCGAGTTTGTTCACTTGGGGATTCATTGTCCTTATTAATACAGTATAATAATATAAATTAGCAAAAGTTTGGGAAATGCCTAGTCACCTTTGCCTAAAAAGTACACTGTGATCTTTATTATTAGAAGCAGCTGGTGGCATAGTGCATGGAGCACTTGGCCTGGAGTCAAGAAGACCTAAGTTGATATTCAGTCTCAGATATTTACTGTGTGATACTGAGAAAGTCACTTAACATCTGCCTGCCTCAGTTTCCTCAACTGTAAAATAAGGATCATAATAGTTGCGAGGATCAAATGAGAATGATATTTGTAATGCTTTTAGCACAGTGCCTACCAGATAGTAGGCACCATAATGTTTATTCCCTTCTCTTCTCTTCCCTTTTATTACTTGACTATGATCAAGCCAATCATTTTAAAGTCAAATAGATATGTGGAGATTCCTGAAGCTGTCAGGTGCAAAATAAATCTCTTGTCCAAACAGTGCTTGCAAACATATATTGAAAACTTTGAATCCTACCAACCCCCATAAAGAAAAACTTGTTCCACTAGATAAACTCTGAGCAGCCACATATTACTCTGTTCACAAAGATAAGAAATAGATTTGAATACTTATGCATGCTAAAACAGAAATCATGAAATCAGAGAAATGAGACAAAAGCTGATGGCTGATCCAGAGACTCAAAAGGCTTTGTTTTCAGGATATCAATGCAGGTGCCGTCTTAACCTTGAAATGCCTTTGTAGGATCATAGATCTTAGAACTGGAAGGGACCTTGGAGGCCCTCTAGCCCAGCCACCTCATTTTACAGATGAGTCAGTCAATAAACATTTATTAGATGCCTACTATGTGCCAGGCACTGTGATGAGCAAACTGAGAACCATGGAGATTGAGTGATTTGCCCAAAGTTCTCCAGGGAGTAATAAGCCTAGAGGTAGATAGAAGCCCTCCAGCTCCCCAGTCCAAGTGACCTGTGATACCGGTCTGTTCTGTTTCTGCTGTCTATAAAGAAAACTAGATGGGGAGTCTGTGAGTCCGTCAGAACTTCAGACCCTCCAAGAAATATGGCAGGGAGCCTGATTCTGTTGCTTTCTCGCTGGGTTGAGGGTGTCTGAGTGCCTCAGTGGAAAATTACAACAACAGATTGATGTGCTGAATTTCCAAGCTCTTAGTCACAACCTGGTGTAGCTTACAAGCCCAGAAGAAGTTAACCGCATTCTCTCACCCAGACTTGCCACTAGTAGTGGATCCCTCGGTTCAGTCACATCCAAGTCAGACTGAATATCTATAGGAGTGGATCCTTCGGTGCTGGCTTTGAGGCAGATTTAATGAAACAGCAAAGGAAGGCTCTGCCACCACAAGAGATACTAGTCTCTAGTCCTAGTCCAGACAAAATGCAGTTCATGCTTAAGGAAAAATTGATAGGTAATTCAGTGACATGAAATGTACCGCGTTCATGGGGTGCTCTTTCAATATACTGCCATAAGGGAAGCAGGGGAAGAAATAAGCCTTTATATAGCACCTACTATGTGCTAGGCACTACTTTTTTAAAAATTGTCTCATATTTCATTTCATTAGTTCAATAAGCACTTCCCTGTGGGTGCCACCTACTAAGGAGATAAAATTTGTAGATAAGACAAGGGACCCTATGATGTCATGGAGTTTATAGTCTAATAAGGAGGTAAGACAGAAATATTTGTATAATTTTAAAATACAGTGTTGTATATATTACATAATAAATGTGCTGAATCACTATGGATTAGAAAAATACAAATCAAAACGAATCTGAGGTACCACATCACACCTATCAGATTGGCTAATATGACAAAATAGGAAAATGATAAATATTGGAAAAGATGTGGGAAAATTGGAACACTAATGCATCGTTGGTGGAGTTGTAAACTGACCCAACCATTCTGGGGAACAATTTGGAACTATACCCAAAGAGCTATAAAATTGCGCATACCCTTTGACCCAGCAATACCACTTCTAGGTCTGTATCCCAAAGAGATCATAAAAACGGGAAAAGGACCCACTTATACAAAAATATTTATAGCAGCTCTTTTTGTGGTGGCCAAGAATTGGAAACTGAGGGGATTCTCATCAATTGGGAAATGGCTGAACAAGTTGTGGTATATGAATGTAATGGAATACTATTGTGCTTAAGAAATGATGAGCAGGCAGACTTCAGAAAAACCTGGAATGACATATCAGCTGATGCTGAGTGAAAGGAGCAGAACCAGGAGAACACTGTACACAGTAACAGCCTCATTGTGCAGTGACTGACTCTGATAGACTTAGCTCTTCTCTGCAATGCAAGGATCTAAGACAACTCCAAAAGATTCATAATGGAAATTGCTATTCACATCCAGAGAAAGAGCTATGGAATCTGAATGCATATGGAAACATACTATTTGCTCTCCTTTTCTTTTGTTGTTTTGTTTTGTTTCTTCTTTCTTGTGGTTCCTCTAATGAGAGGAATTTTAATTCGTTCTGACTTTTCTTTACATCATGACTAATGTGAAAATATGCTTAATTATGAATGTATAAGTAGAGCCTCTGTCAGATTGCATGACATCTTGAGAGGGAGTAGGATAGGGAGGGGTAGAAAACTTAAAACTCAAAATCTTATAGAAGTGAATGTTGAAAACTAAAAATAAGTTAATTATTTAAAAAAAAAAAAAAGAATGATTAGGAATTCACCAGGCAGGGAGAGAAAGGACATTCTAAGCATAGAGAACAGAATGAACAAAAGAATGGAAATGGAAGAATGTAGGGCATATTTGAAGGATTGACAGTGGTCAGGTTTGGCTATAGCGTAGAGTACATGAAAGGAAAGAAGAGAGAAGAAAAGGAAGGAAGAAAAGAAAAATGGAGGGAAGGAAGATACCAGAATATTAAGGGCCTTGAATACCAGATAAAGGAGTTGAACTCTTTTTGAGCTGTTGTTCAGTCATATCCAACTCTTCGTGACCCCTGTAGTGTTTTCTTGGCAAAGATACTGGAGTGGTTTGCCATGCTCTTCTGCAGCTTTCCAGATGAGGAAACAGTCAAACAGGGACTTGCCCAGGATCACACAGCTAGTAAGTGTCTGAGGCCAGATTTGACCTCAGAAGAGGAGTCTTCCTGACTCCAGGCCTGGAACTGGGCCACCTAGCTGCCCCAAGCCAATACGCAGCACTTGAGTTGAATGCTCAGCAATCAGCTTCATGTAAAGTTCAACAAGTTTTATCTAATGTAAAGGTTGAGGAAGGCAAAGGACTTGATTTGAACCACCTTTGACAAATACTTAAAATGGAAGGATGAGGGTTGAGGGGCCAGGAAATATGGTCTTGGCACAGAGTCAAGAATACTAGGAGGTTTTCTAATAGTAAATTATGTCAGCTGCTATCACTTACTGAAGGACAAGAGAATCAAGGCCACCTGGGGTCAAAAACAACCCAGAATTCTGGGTACTGTGATCCTTCTTGAAGAGAAGTTTTCTGTGCTCTCAGCTCTGCTGAGGAAACGTATTTGGGGCCAACCTAAAGCAAAAA